ACGGGGAGGCCCCCCTGCCACGAGCCCTCCTCGGGATGGTTAATGCAGGCCCCATCCTGAAATCCCACCTCCCCCAGCTGCCCCATCTCCCTTAGCCCTACTTTCACCTGCGATGCTGAAAAGCTCGAGCCAGCAGAGTGATGGGCACACAAGTGTGCACCCGCAGGCACAATCCCCAGTTACCCCCAGCACCAGCCCTGGAGAGGGCTTGTGGCACTGCCCTCCCCTCCCGAGCACCTCCTGTACCCCAGGGATGGGACCAGCCATGATGCTAAAGCTCTTGGCTCTGTCCCCACAGGGAGGACAGACAGCACCGCCATCGCCAGCGATGCCACCGAGTATACCCTCCGCCGCCTGCAGCCAGCCACCAAGTACGAGATCGGGGTGAAGAGCGTGCGGGGCCGGGAGGAGAGCGAGGTGTCCTCCATCACTGTGCACACAGGTGGGAAGGAGCTCCTGGTGGGCAGGTAGCCATCAAATGGTGCCAGCCCCTGCTTGCAGTAGTAATCAGGCACCTGAGAGAAAGCTGAACCTCATGCCAGTCTGATGCAAGCTCAAGATGATGAGCGAGGCTCACGAGGGCCCAGTGTGGACTTTTGAAGTATGTCTAAGCAAAGCTTTTCCCATATATGCATGGGTAGTCATGGAGGGGAGTGATAAATCTGTGTACCGAGCACAGGGAAGCTAGAGATATGATGTTGGGCAACCATGACAACCTTTCCTAAAGGGAGTACAGGCTCCCAGAAATAATCCCTGGGGAAGCCCTGACAAAACAGCATCTGCTGCAAGAATAAAACACTCTGCTATCCCCAGACTCCTCAAAACCTAAAAAATGCCTCAACATCCCAGGCTGTGCATCAGAAAAACAGTGGAAGAGCAGCCCAGGTAGCAGAGTAGCACAAGCTATGACATCTCTGCTCTCCAGCTAGGGCAGCGATAACTCCTCTGCAGGCACTTGTGGCTGGGCAGCAAGGCAGGGCCACAAGTAATGGGCCACAAGAAGCCTTTCCAGTCCACAGCCCAGTCTCTTAATGCCTCTGACTCTCTGAATCTGTCCCCCATGCAGCCATGGATGCCCCCCTGGGCGTCACAGCCACCAATGTCACCCCCACCGAGGCACTGCTGCAGTGGAACCCGCCGCTGTCAGAGGTGGAGAGCTACGTCCTCGTCCTCACACGCCATGCAGGTACACCGAAACCCTGTGCCCCTCTGCCGCAAGCGTTGCTGGGGTTCCATTTTAGCTCACCTCCACTTCTCCCCCATCCCAAAGCCTGGGGCTCGGCGGGTGCCCTCCACGGAAGGGGCCCTTGTCTCAGGAGGGCAGCAGCTGGTGGATGGCAGGGCTGTACCCCATCCTCAGGCGCCAGCTCCTCCCATGCAGGTCCCATGGCAGTGCCCCTCACCAAGCCTCAGAGCATGGCAACCCACACAGGAGGGGACTGAGACCCTCCCGCTTTACTAACTGGCCCACCAGCAGCAGCCCGGGGCAAGCAAGTACCCATCCCACAGACACTCAGTGTGCAGCAAACTCCATGAAACCCACTACCGAAGGGAAAGAAAGCATCAAGTAAATATAGGGACCTTGGGAAAAATAAGACCATCCTTCAGACCACACACCACCACTACAGCTCAGCTGCCACACAGTAGCTCATGGTGTTTCAGCAGTATAAGTGTTTTTGATCATGAGGTCATATGCATAGACACATTTTGGAGAAACACCTTGAATATCTACCCTAAGTCATCTCTTTGGGTTTACAGTTGCAGGAGAAACAGTTCTTGTGGATGGAGTCAGCCAGGAGTACCAGCTGACCAACCTCCTGCCCAGTACCACCTACACAGTCTCTATGTACGCCACCAACGGGCCTCTCACCAGCCAGACCATCAGCACCAATTTTACAACTCGTACGTACAATCGCCTTCCCCACTGCCTGTTACGTGTCCTTGGCTACACATCCCCCCCAAGGAAAAGCAGCCAGCAAGGCTAAGCCAAAGCTCATCACATACGTGTGGGTGTAGAAGTAGCCATGTGCTAAAAGGACACCCAAATACCAGTGTTGGGCACAACACAAGAACAGAATTTTAATCACAACAAGCATCAACTATCATTTTCACTCTTTCAACATGAATCCAGCCCTTCCTTTGATTTCCTCTGCATGTGGTTTCCCAAGAAGACCCTTGACCTGGTCTTTTTCTTGCCCAAGGGCATAGCCCAGAAGAGCACTACAACCCAGTTTGCTTACAAGAAGCTTGACAGGCCCCATAGCACAAGAATTTCAGAGCCGTTACCCTTCAGAGAGCATGGAGGTAGAGGAGGACTTTTAGAGAGCTTGCAGAGCTGTGTTCAAGCCTGGGGAGGGGTGATGAGGTCTGGAAACGGAGGGTCAGGATGGACTTCGGGCTGTAGCTCAGGGTTGCAAGGTTGAAACCCAGTGCACTGAGTTGGGAAGCAAGGTTGGGGTGGTTGCATGTGAGAACTTGTACTTCCCTGAGTCCCTATCCACCTTTGCAGTTTTGGATCCTCCAACAAATCTGACCGCCAGCGAAGTCACTCGACGGAGCGCCCTGCTCTCCTGGGTGCCTCCCATGGGAGAGATCGAGAACTACATCATGACCTACAGATCCACCGATGGCAGCCGGAAGGTGAGTGAGTCTTCACACAGAAAGGAGCGTCATTAAGTTAAGGAATAATTGACTGTGGAGAAACGAGCAGGAGAAACCCAACAAAGCAAAAGAATGATGCTCACCAGGTCAGGGAGAGACCAGAAGGGCAGATGCTACTTTCTACATAAGCAATACTTTAGATAAACAATTGGAAAAAGCAGGAAAAGATAGCCTAGGGCAAAATCTTCATGCACACCTGCAGGTCTGGGCAAAGAGGGCATGCCTGGGAAGTTCGGAGGAACATGGGAAATTCACAACTTGTGAAACACAAGCAAGCTGAGGCAGGAGAGAATTGTCCCGCGAACAGAGATGCTAAAAATGCCACTTGCCCTTCTTGCAACATGGCAGAAAGGTACAGACAGCTAATTAATCCCACAATACAATATATTGGCTTATTTAATGAGTGTGTCCATATCTGCCTGTCTGGAAGAGCTGCTACAAACACTATCAGAAATACGTCACCACAAATAGTCTCATTTCCGTGGCTGGTGTGACTGGCTCACAGCGGCCAAAGGGTAATAGCTTTGCAGAAGGGGTTCGATATAATGCTCTGTGGCATTGGCTGACGACCAGAAAAATTAACGTGACAGGAATTGACAGAGTCGAAACAGGCTGATAACCAGGTTTGGCCAGCTCTGCTCCTTGCGATGCTTGGGCAATCTGTCATGCCCCGTATTGAGAGCACGCAGATCCCAAAGGAGTCGGTAAATAGAACACACAGACTGTAAACATTTACATCTCCTGTGTCCAAACCAGCCAGTTTTCTCCCACCCAAACCATCCCAAAAGGCTGAATATATTCATTGACCTCACGTTGACTTAGTCCAGGGATGTAAGCAGCCACGCAACGCTCCTCGGCCAGGCACCAAGGGCTGCGGTAGTGTGTGGCTTCCCTTCCCTCCTCGCTTGCTCTTTAGGCTCCCCATCGCTTTTCTCATCTGTTGCTCTTGGTGTCTACCTCCTTCTGGGACCCATGTACAGGAGCTGATTGTAGATGCCGAGGACACGTGGATCCGCCTGGAGGGGCTTTCTGAGACCACAGAGTACACCGTCCGCCTGCAAGCTGCCCAACACGCCATGCGGAGCGGCTTCATCTCCACCACCTTCACCACAGGTGAGGATTCACACCACATCTGCTCAGCCAGGTGGGGCTTAGCCCACATACCGTGCTGGTAGACACGGACCGCTTTTATGGGCTTGCTCTCCTCAGGCAGCATTTCACCACGGTCCACAGAGAGGTACGTTCATTGCCATGACCCACAGTGCTGCTCTGCTACAAAAAGTTAACGGCTGAATGACCTACAACACAAACATGAGACCCAGCCCAGGGCAAAGGGATTTGAGCTTCAGACTGGGAACCATCTGCGAGGCCCTTTGCCTTGACCTTGCCTTTCCTCAAACGCAGAAATAGAGGAAAACAACCACAAAAGTCAGTAACACATATCAACAGGTGTGATCTCGGAGTGAGTGGGGAGAGACTCAGCTGGTCTCTCCATGCTGCAGACATGGTCCAATCTCTCACAAATATAGAATGGTTTGGGTTGGAACGGGCCTTTAAAGGTCATCCAGTCCAACGCCCCTGCAATGAGCAGGGACATCTTCAACTAGATCAGGTTGCTCAGAGCCCCATCCAACCTGACCTTGAATGTTTCCAGGGATGGGGCATCCTTGGAAATATCAAGCAGGTGCATCTCCACCACCATCAGTGGAGTCACAGACAGCAGAGCCAGGGTGCCCACAGGACTGTGGTCTCACCAGTTTTATCTAATTGCATTATTCCTTTCCCCTCTTAATTCTAGAGAAGTTGCAATCCCCTAAGGCCACAGGAATTTCCTTTCCAAATCAAATGGTGGACATCCACAGCCACTGCAACCCTCACAGATGGAGTGCTTGTGCTTGCAAGAATGAAGTTTGCACAAAAATGTTACCATTGTCCCCACCCTTTGCAAGTGTTCACATTAGAAACCACGCAAAGCATATCGTCCCTTACCCTCTTGAAAAGCCTTGCTAGGCCAGGGCACTTAACAGACAGAGTGCATTTTGTTCAGGGCTGAATCCAATTACGTTTCTCCTGGGCTTCAAAAGCACCGAGAAGCCTGAAGATGATGCCCACTGAAATTCCTCCCATCTGCGCTGCCAGTTTGATTAGGAGAGTTTTCTTTGAATCTGCTCTGGATACACTTCCCCATCTCGGTTACATGCAAAGGTCTCTTCGCCTGCTTTTAAGAGATAATAGAAACTATTTACGTCAACAAAAAACCTCTTCTCTAATGCATCTACAGATCAGGCTTTCCTGTTATTCTTGCCTCTTACGCGGGCACATAAAGCAATTCAGACAGGTGCTGGAAAAACGCGTGTAATCTTTGATGCTGTTGGGGTGTCAGGCATGAAACTGCACAGGGCTGGCTTCTCCACTGGGATAAAGCAGCAGAAACCCACTCACATCAGGCAAGGAGAGCACCCTTTCCATTAAACACCAATGTTAGACCTCGGCAGCGTTAGAGACACGGTTGCCAGCTGATGCGGCATCCGAACCCAGGTTTAATTTGCTTTTAAGTTGAAGATAGGCATCAGCAAGAAACCAGTTTTTCCCCACTTACCCCACGTATCGATGAGACAGAAGCACCCAGGAACAAACACCGAGGCGATGCAATCCATGGGCAGCGTACCTCAGCGAAGAATTGGGGTCTGGGATTCAATTCACTCTGGCAGCGTATCGGGGCACTTCGCAGAGAACAAGGGCTTGTCTTTACAGAGACAAAAAAGAGAAAAGAAAAGAAAAAAACAAAACAAAACAACAAACCAGGCTTAATTTAAATTGTTTTGCTTCCTTCTGCTCACAGTACACATCCCGTGGTTCTTCTATTCCCTCTGACATATTAATAGCTCAGTCTCTTTGTTTCATGTTTGCATAAGGTTCTTGGGGAATTGTATACAGATGGGACAAAAGGAAGAAACAGATACAGTATTTATAATTTATAGTGGTTTGAAATGTCTTTCAAGGTCTCCTTGGCTCTTAAAGATATGAATATAAATTAAGAAACAAGTAATCTCTGCACAGCTCAGGGGAGCCTGAAGTGGTTGTCTTTGAAGCAGTTTTAATTGTCAGATACTATAAAATGCAAACACTGTCTCACCAGACCTCGCACTGCAGACTACAGAGACGGGAAAAAATAGAGGATCTTCAACACTTGGACAAAGCGACGACCTCCGAGTCTTCAGGTCGCAAGGGTGGGTGGAATACACCCCAGTGGGATATAACAGACAAGGGTCTGTACCCTGGTCCTACGAGGTATCACGCAGTTGTGACGGACGCACACGGCACGTCGTTCACACCTTCTCAACGCGTAACCGAGACACCCTCGAAAGCCACATCCATGTTGCCAGCTCTGCGCTCATTTACTCCATCATCCATATGCACTGACAGTGAAGAAAAAGACGTATTCCCCCTCTTTTGCACTAAATGGGAAAAAATTGAACCCAGAGTTGACATCCCAATACTGCTGGGGTCTCATAGTTAAGACTCTCTTAAACTCTGACCCCCAAATGAGACATTTCTTCATTAGAGGATACCTGCAGCACAGCCAGGCTGCCCATCTCTAGCATCTCTCACAGCCTAATTCCTGCTCAGTTTGCAAGTGACAATCAGCCCGGCATAGGTCCACCATCACTTCCAAGGGCATAGATCAGGGGAAACCCCCTGGAATCAGTAAAGTCATAAAACTGGTTTGGAGCTGGCAATCCTGAGAGGAGAACAGGTTTTGGTATTTTCACAGCTGTCTAAATACGCTGGTGACAGCTTAAACCCCAGGGTTTCAGACACGGTGCAGAAAGATGGTCCAAGAAGCAACATCCCTCATCATTCATAGTGATGTTACCATGCACCTTTCCAATATAGGACGTATGGGAGATTAGTTAATATACGCACACATTTTTTTCCATTAAATCCTCTGATGTTGTTGGCAGACGTAAAGTCCCACCACCTTGCAGAAAAACTCAGGACGCAGAAGCCAAGTTAGACCTTTCCTGGATCACAACCAGTGGGGCTCACGACATGTGGAAAGGGTGTTGCTTTGCTTAAATTTTGCCTTTTTTTTTGTTTTAATTTTGCAGGTGGCCGTGTCTTTGCTAACCCACAGGACTGCGCCCAGCACCTGATGAACGGAGACACACTGAGCGGCGTCTACACCATCTCCATCAACGGGGACCTCAGCCAGCGGGTCCAGGTCTACTGCGACATGACCACCGACGGAGGAGGCTGGATTGTGAGTAGCCATGTGGTTGTCCTACATGTTGTCCCCATTGCAAAGTAACCAAGCTTCATCCTACCAGCAAAGCCAAGCACCACGCTGCGCGGGAACGACAGCAGGCTTAATATCGCACGCTTCATTTCCCACGCCATAGGGAATGGCCCACGCTCCAGTAATAATAGTTACACTTGGAGAAATGCCCTTTGATTTATTTGACATGTTTGCAGTGCTTCTGGAGAGCAAAATCCGAGAGCGAAGCTGATTTATTGTTCTAGAAATGAAATTAATGGCCGATAGCTTTCATGGGGAATGATTCACACTGCCTGCAGTAGGAGGGTGTCAGGCATCACCCCAACTGAGTCCGCACGGGAGCATTTGAGAGGCAAATGCCTGTTTGGCTTTTGAATTGCACAAACACTGCTTGTCTTGACGTAGATAGACTGACAGCTTAAGTAAATAATGCTCCGGTGCTTTGATTTTATTCATGTCAAACGCTTACTTACATGCATTACACAAAGCTCTGCTAGATGTATAGTCGAAACAAAAAAAATAGGCTTCCTCAAATGCTGATTTCTAGCACTGACGTTATTTTAGCCAAGAAATTTCCCTCCATCTCACTCTGCCTCAGAGCATCCCCTTTGGATATCACAGAAAGAGCCAGCCAAAAGCAGAGTCACATGCTAGAAAACCAGAGGCACCACGCATGGGGTAGAGCGGAAAGCTTGAAGGCCGATTCCTTCCTATTATAACATTGATTGGCCTTAGACATCTCACATCTCTTCAGTTTCTCCATCTGCACAGGAATTAATGACACAGCTGCAATTAACACTAAGTGGATGGGCATTGCAATTTTTTTCCCTGAAAGGCACGATGGAAAGACAAAGTATTGTCTTTATTTGTGAGCCCCAAAGCCCGGCAAGGCCGTCCCTCTTCTCCTTCACACTGATTTCCTCCCTGGTCTTCCCCCACCTCAGGTCTTCCAGAGGCGGCAGAATGGACTGACCGATTTCTTCCGGAAATGGGCAGATTACCGGGTTGGCTTCGGAAACCTGGAGGATGAGTTTTGGCTGGGTAAGACCCTAACCGGTTGTCTTTCATTGATATGTCAAACTCAAGCTCCCCGTACACTGTGCTGCTCACCTGTGCCAGCTGTTGGCTCCTCACCTTTCACCCCACTCTTCTACGCTCTCCCTTGGACAGTTCTCCTCCCGTTGTTCATTCCCTGCCCTGCACGTTAGAAAGTCACTCATGGGCACACTACATAAAAGCACATCGTGAAGGCCAACAGCTCCCTAAGTTGCTCCTCCTAGGAGAGCAGGGGATACGCTGGGGGTCTTCATAGACCAAAACCCATCATCCTCCTTTGGATGACTACAGGTTGCATTGGTGGTATCAATGGCTCGCGGACCTCACCTGGCCTTGGCCAGCAAGCCAGTTGCCCAAAGAAAGTAGGAAGGGGGTCGGTGGGAGACCCAGCATGGCTCTGAAATGGAGTGTGCTCCCCCAAAACCTGAACATGAGCCAAGGCCAGCCCCGCAGCGTAAACACGCTCTGGCTTGTACAAAAGCTTAACAGCAACATGAGAAGCACCAGGGCTCCACAGCTGAACGCCCTCAGCTCCAGCAGCATGGAGAAAGCTGAACCTGCGCCTTGAACCCACCTCTCATAGCCACGGGGAGGTAATGCTTGAACGGACACAGAGAGCTCAGACCCCACCAGTGCCAGGAGAGACAAAGACTTAACCAGAAGTGCTGTTGCTCTTTGGTTCCTCTCCTCGCTCTCATTTCCCACAGCCGTTTTATTTGCCTAGAGCCTTTTTTGTTTGCTCACGGAGCGGATCCAGGCACCGGGTCTCACCGGATGTCTCGCTGCTTGTCTTACCAGGCTTGGACAACATCCACAAGATCACGTCCCAAGGGCGCTATGAGTTGCGAATAGACATGAGGGATGGCCAGGAAGCAGCGTACGCCTACTATGACAAGTTCTCCATTGGCGACTCCCGGAGCCTGTACAAGCTGCGAATCGGGGACTACAACGGCACTTCAGGTACAACCTTGTTGCCAGCAAGTCACAGGGAGATCTTGGGACCGGTGGGTCTGAAACTGTAAAGGAAATCCCAACATCAAAGCTTACTTCTCTGGAGCAGCAAGACACAAACCTATAGCTCTTTCTCTCTTCCTGCAGTCCATCATGTAAACCAGGCTGATAAATCCAACTAAGGACACAGGGAATTTTCCATTGGGGATTAGATATTAATATCAGAGGCATTGCTGTTCAAATAACAGGTCAATCGTCAGAGGTGTCATCTCCCTTGGCAATAACCACACCTTGCTATTGATGCCATGCTGGAGGGTGTATTTATTGCCCTCCCACAGCAATGGAAAAATCTGAAATCCTCTGTAACGTTTCCTCACGCAGAGGCTAAACTCAGTCTGGTTTTGCAAGGACACTGTCACACCTGTTTGCTCGGTCAATGCAGCAGCGCTAGGCTTTGCCCACCAGAAAACAGTGGGTGATGGAGGGAGGGCATGGGGTCTCTTCCCCAAGAAGGGGGAGAGGGTTACAGCCGCAGCCCCTTTAGCTGGGATAGACATGCCCAGGGCAAGCCTCCATGATCCAGACAAAACTTCACCACCATGTACTTAGCAAGGAACCCCACACTGTATCTAAGATGCAGGAGTTTTCCTGTACGGTATCAGGTAGTTGACACTGGAAGAGAAGAAACAGGGACGTTGGTTGTGTGCAACACAACACTTGCTCTGACCTTAAGTCCCAGGGCTCAAGGTACCCAACCTATTGCCAAAAATGCCAGTAACAGCTGCAGACATGACTCCCTCCTTTTTTCCCATGCAAGCTCTTCTTCTAGCCATCCAACCAAGGAGCTTCTGCTCCACCTTGAGCAAAGAGAGCCAAGACTCGCCAAAGGGTTCATTGCCAAGAGGTTTTCTAGCAAGTCTCTCGGTGGCTGGACTGCACACAACTAGCATGGGTCCACTTTGTATTTTTGTACGGACCACCAAGGAACACACTACAAATGTCTCCTGTAAGGACATGACTCAATTGTAATAATGACCATATTTCATTTTGGCTCCTTTCACCCAAAAGCAGCTCTCTTGTTCCTTAGCAAGGAGGGGAGATGAGGTTGATGGTTTTGGTGGAATAAGACATCACACACCTTCCAAAAGGTTCTTCCCCTTATCCAAAGGGAGAAAAGAAGGCCCAGTGTCTTGGTTCAATAGCCGAACGCCTGGCCTCCTCTGGGAGAAAAAGTTCGCTTTGGCTAACAGGAGGGAAGGAGGCTGAAAGCATCCTGAAGTTATGTAGCAGAGCCAGGCTTCAGGAAATATGAGATGCCCAAATCTAGGATTTAATTCATTTCTGAAACACTGAAATTCAGACCCAAAACCATATAGTATTTTATCTGCCAAACCCAGGCAGCCTCTAAAATTTACTACGGTCTGTACTTATCCTAAACCAACAGTAGCGGACCTCAGATGAACCAATTGTTAGCAATTCCAGTTAACGTTATTCCTAGACTTTCAGCTGCTTGAACTGTCAATCCACAGACAACCACATATACCGTAATATCATAATTTCCTTGTGAAAAGACCAGATGACTCAGGCTCCATCACCCCTAACAGCACCTCTTTCCACAGGGGACTCCCTCACCTATCACCAGGGCCGCCCCTTCTCCACCAAGGACAGAGACAACGACGTCGCTGTGACCAACTGCGCCATGTCCTACAAAGGGGCCTGGTGGTATAAGAACTGCCACCGCACCAACCTCAACGGCAAGTACGGAGAGTCCCGGCACAGTCAGGTAAGAGCAGAGCTGGGCTGAAAGCCTTCGGCATTTCTTCTAGCAGCACGACCCTTCAAGCCATTTGGGCTGGTGTGTTGTGCCTTGTACGTGGTTATTTATTGTGGCACCTTGTTAAGTTACATTTTAAAAAAATACATACATAAAATTTTATCAGGAGCCTTTGAGCAGCGGGGAAAAAACAATCAAGAGTAGCAGAAGAGTTTCTTGCTCCTGCTGTAGCAAGTTCTTCCTTCTGACTTCTTTGTGGTGGTCAACTTTGCTTCCTTCCTCTCCCACTCTAGTTGTGTGTTAGGGTCTGTCTTTACCCTGTGCCTTTCTCTCCCTCCTGCCAGGGGATTAACTGGTACCATTGGAAAGGCCACGAGTTCTCCATCCCCTTCGTGGAAATGAAGATGCGACCTTACAACCACCGTAACATCTCTGGGAGGAAGCGACAGTCCCTACAGCTCTGAGCCAGCTGAACCCCCCTCCCACCTCCCACCACCTGACCTTTTCTGTCATTTGTTTGTATTTTATAATATGAAAAGGGAAAAAAAAATAATTACTACTCGTCTGAGATAGCAACCTGCCCCTCACGAGTGCTGGAGGGAACCACGGCACAAGCAAAGGCTGTGGGAAAGGAAAGACCTCATTGCTTTGCATCTGTCCCAGAGAAAGACCAAATTTCCAGTCTCCCTACCCCAATACTCTGGCCCTTAACACGAGAAGAAAGAGAGAGAAAGAGACAGACAGATTTTTGATATTTTTTTAAAAGACTTAGAAATCCCCAGCAAACCCCATTAGAAACATTTGTCACGGGGCTTGTGGCAGAAACATTCCCACAGGGACCTTGGTGCGGCCATTTCCACCCCAGTCATGGCCAGGGATACCTGCCCTCTCCCTGCCTCCCTGTCCCCTCCTGGGAAGGAGGTGCCAAGCTTCATGCCATCCTGTAGACACCAACTCTTTCAGCAGGCAGAGACCCATCTGTCCTCGTGGCCAAGGGCACACAGCCTGATCATCCCTCCCCTACATGCAGTCACTGTACACATGGAGACGAAGGGAGGATAAGCAAACACAAGGCTCATCCTGTCCCCAGTTTTCACAGATCACACCAGGAACGCTTCGTGAATATCATGTGCATGTGTAGGTGAACTCTAGAAAACCCTCAGCTCACATCTTGGCCCCACCACAGCCAAAGTCATCCTCTGGTACAGGGGAAGAAGAGCTGCTCCACTGACCCCAACCTGTATCACCCACTCCTCCAAGCTGAATTCACCCCACTCCAGGTGCATGACATCTGCCTGGGTTGTGCTGAGCTTGATGGAGAAGAAAGGAGTCAAATTAGAGGACTTGGGAGAAAAATCACTGCTTGTGGTCTTGAAGTCTACGGCCCAGTTCCTCTGCTATTTCTATATGCCACCATGCTGTCTCTCACAGAGATCACTGGACCCAAACCAAAGCATCTCAGAGAAGGAGCAACAACCAAAAGAGCCATCACACAACCACAGCCCAGACAGCAGCCAGCACAGCCCAGGTGCTCTTGTTCAGGGACCTCCACGCACATGGGAAGGATGATGATGCAGCCAAGGGAAGACAAGTGCAAGCTGAGAAACACCCGTTCCCTTCCTTCTCCTATACCATCCCTCTTTGCCGCCATCACAAGAGGGACTCAAATCTCAGTGCCTTGGTACCACCATCTCTCTAACAGGTAACCAACTGTTTCCCCTCCTGGAAGGAAAGCTTAGCCCATTCAGATTTTGGAGCACTTCAAGACTCTTGGAAGAATAGATGAGTTCACTCTTCCCATCCTTAACTTCTCCCATCTTAAGGACAATGGACCCTTCAGATAGCTTTGACTGCTCTCTGTTGTCATCGCCACCACCTCTATGTAGCACAAATGACCACTACGCTGGAGTCACTCCCCTGCCAAGGGCTCTGATCAATGCTGGGTATTGTCACTGGCCTGGTCACGGAGAAGGGACTCGTCCCCACATCCAAGGACAATGCAGCTCATCGCTGGATTCGCAGCCAAGCTCGTCCCCACATCCAAGGACAATGCAGCTCAACACTGGATTCGCAGCCAAAGGAGCATTACAAATGCTAAACACTGCTTTTTGATTTTATCACACTGAAGCTGCTTTGTCTCAAGAAACATCTTCCAGATGGCAACATAAAGGCATCTTTGCAGTAGCTTATAATTCAGGCCAGTGTCTCTTTCATGGTCATGCTCCTGGATTTTCTGACGTTACTCACCACGGCTGCAGAACTGAAGAAGGGCATTAAGTGGGAACCGCAGCCTCATTGTCCGTATCACGTACTGGCACACAAAATCATAGCTAACCCCAAGGGCAGGATTAGATACGGGGTCCAGCCCTTCAAGTGGTCAGCTTACAAGCTGTAGTCTGACCTGGAGGAAGGATGCTGTAGCTCAGCAACATCTCATATGCAAATGAGGGATCTCTTCTTACTTCCCATCAGCATCAAATCAGGCAACAAGTCCACCAGCTGAGGAACAGGTCAGAGAGGCTGCAGATGATGGGATCCCTTGCAAGACATGGCCAGTGTCTCAGATGGCAGCATCTCATGCCTCCTGAGCAACCTGTCCTGTTTTAGGTCCCAAAAGCCAAGCAGCAGACAAAACTGATTAAAACTTAAGAAGCCTCCTAGTAGGCCAGCAGAGTAATATTTTTCCCAACATCACCAAGAGTTTAGAGGCAAGAAGCGTCCTAACAAAAGCACTATAGTGCAGTGTTAGAAGTAGGAGCAGAGATTGGCAGTGGATGGCATTCATCACCTGTCTCGGATGGTGCTGTTTGCTTATCTACCCAGGTGAAAGGAAGAGACGTCAGTGGAAACACGGGAGCTCATCATTCGCAATCAAGTGGAAGGCGAGAAACTTCTCTTTTCAAAAGTACAAGTCAAACAGAAAATCAAAACATGCCAAGCTTTTCCAGGAGCTTCAAAAGAAGATCTTCAAAAAGGCTGATTATTCTCTAAATAGATTTCCTGATGTGCGTCTCTCCCTTCCTTGCTTATGTCTGTCATCCCTTTTATAAATCCTGTAATGATGAAAGGTCCGGTTAATTCAACCATCATCAAGTCTGCAGGATGCCCTTGGAGATAATATCCAACCTTCCAGTGCTGCTATATACCAATGCTGGTCCTTGATCTCAAACATCGTACCTTTCCATTACCTTGATGAAATGCAGTTGCTAAAAATCTTTTAAAGGAAAGACATCTACACATGGTGGTTTTGTTCTCCTGGTCAAAACCTAACTCAAGTCTAGGCAAACAATCAGCAACGACAACCCGGTCATTCAGCCACTGTCCCTTGTTCATATTGTCCATCTATGAGATACAATTTTCCAGAAATTTCTTTTTCACCATTGCCTGATGAATTTTTTTTGGACAAAGCTCCTGCCAGCAGTTTCAAGCAAATTTGTGCTTAATGTTGATGCTACAGAACAACCAGGCGATTAAGTACAGTCTCTCTTTACCCTCCACCACTGGTTGGGTAAGCCCTTTTTCTGAATTCATTCTCCAACCAGACCAAGTTTGGCCCTGTCCCCCATCAGCGTAGCACTGAGACTGAAGGAAGTCTTGGCAACAGGCCTGAAATTCCCAGAAACCCAGCCTGGATCCCACGCAGCGCTCATCTCAAGAGACCTTGGCTCCAGCACATGAACCATCACTGGGCTCTGGTGGCTCGTCTGCCATCCAGCTCACATGGGTCAGGATCACCCCAGAACCCAAAACAAACCTGAAGCTGTTACCTAAACCACACTATGCACTGCAAGATGCCAACTCCCATAACATCAAGCAAGGAGAAGCACGTCAGGTCTTTCACCCAGCAGAGCTCCATGCACGCCCAGGACCCCCACAGCCTGTCAAAGTCACCTCTTTTTCTAACCTGGAAGGAAACACCAAGGGACTCTCTCATCTCTCACCCAATTTTGTTTTTCCTCTGTTTCCATTCCTGCCAGACCTCCAAGTCCACCTTTCCACCACACACTGCACTAAAACGTAACCAAAGGGAAAAAAAAAAAAAAGAAAGAAAAAAAAGGCCTGAAAGGAAAAGCTGCTTTAGTAAAGAGATCCTTAAGACAGCATTTATAAATGAGTAATTTGGGGAAAGAAAGAGGCCAGGCCTTCCCCAAAGTAGCTGGGTTTTGGAAGAAGGATGCTGGAAGAGTCTCAGAGCCACACAAAGGCTGGGAAGAAGCCTTTGCTTCTAACTCCTTATCTTTGCATTACTTTACCATGAGTATCTCAAAGCATAGTACCAGCCTACTTGCCCTCTTGCCCCAACCTCTTACCCCCTTCCCAAAGTGATGCTTACCCCAGGTGAAGCATTGGCACGTGGAAAGCACAGCTCACGCCACTTTCATCCCCAGTGTTGCGGCAGGTGAGGACAAGAGCAGTGGTGTCCCCTTGCTGGGGTGGCCCTGTGCCCGCAACAGGCTTAGACTGACGTGCCAAAATACAGCAGGAGCCAAAATACCCACCTGGTGCATCACCTCCACGGCAGCACATGCCCTTCATCCAGACCCAGAGCCACCCTCCAGGTACGTCCCCACCGTCGCACCCTGGGGTGACCACAGACCCCCTGCCCCGTGCTCCTCAGCAATGCCCACAAGCTTTGACCTTACCAGACAGTGTCAAAGAGCCCTCACTGCCCCCCCAAAAAACAATCTTAAATCATGCTTACACCCTCTAACAAAGGGCTCTGTCCCAGGGCCAAGCGAGAAGTCCATCCCTGTTTCTGCCAACCAAGCACCCTAGGATGGCCATCAAACCCAACCGAGCCCCTTGGGGACCACCAGTACCCTCCAGGGTCACCTTCCCCCCCTCCTTAAACCTGATGGTACCCAGATGGTGGTGGCAGCTCCTTGCCCCTTCCGGGGGAGAGGTTTGGGGTAAGGGCTGGGGAGATGCTGATGCCCAGACCCACCTCGGTACCCAGCCCACAGCTCTCCAGGTGGCAGTGGTTTCTCAGAAGGATGGTGACACAAAGACCTAAACAAACAAACAAGCAGCCCCCTGTGTACAGGTGTTACCCTGAAATTCTGTTTATTACTTAAAAAAAAATAATTAAAAAACATAAATAAGAAGGAAGATCTGATGAACTCAAACACAAACCAATGCAACCAAATGAGGGGAAAGATAAAAGCAAATAAATGCATAAATAAAATAAATAATATAAATAAATA